ATTAATTTTATATTTTTCTAATTTGTTTCAATTAAAGGAATCTATAAAAAGCTTATTAATTTTTTGTTAGTTTTTTAATTTCTCATTTATCATATTTAACTTTGAATCCTATTTTTCTAAAAAAAAAAAAAACATTTAATGTTTAATATCAATTGAAAGAATCAGGTGCGATGGACATGTTCGAAGAAAAATTTCCGGATTGCTTTTACAAAGGAACGAAAAACAACTTCTTCTGTAAAGGCATTTGCTTTGTAATCAAGTTGCATTGACAAAATCAGTTATACTACGTAGCCTAAGAATTTATAACATCGATCTGTGGAAATCGATTTCCGATTAGATATCGGACAAGCTTCCATCCGCAATCCGATCGCAATTGCCCCGACCACGAATCACATTGTTTCGCAATCAAAGCGGCATGTTTCCAATGTCATGAGCTCGTCGACATCGATCAACGCCTCTTGCTAATATTCATACTCGAGGAAATGTATTAATTAATCGAAGAACAAGATTTTATCGCTTTACAATATTTAAGCTAAATTTGAAATTGCTTCATATTTAAATATTTTTTTTAGCAAAAAGCTAATTAAAAAGATGTAATGAGGTAAAAAATTTCATTTTTTATCATGTATCAAAAGTGTTACTATATATATAACAACAAATATCACGATGGAAAAGATATTCTCTTATATAAAAAAACAATATAAAAAAAGGAGAATAAGACTCTTTTTTGATGACTTTATCTATCTAACTGACTACATTTCCTTTCACAAAGAGCCTTCGAATGTTGTAACCCGACACCTTGATGGATCAAAGCCACGGCAACGTCGTTAAAGATGGAACGTTTTCGCTTTCTCTTCCTTCATTCTGGTTGGTGGTATTTCTCGAACCGCGTAATGTCAGCAGCCGCTAAAAAAAAGCGTTCAAGAGGAGAATGTGGAATAGTCTTACCTCTCCAGAGGCGACTGCCTCGCCTGGAATGAAGAGTTCCGGATAAACGTTGTCCAGGTACCACTTGAACGACTTGCACCCCAGTTTCTTCCTAAGAGCTTTTCGCTCCGATATGTCGCCGTAGTTGCCCTACAAAAGTTCAGTGTATAGTAGAATAGTGCTAACAACAAAAGATAAAAAATATGAAAATTGTGTGGATATTAAAATAAACATAAAGAGAGAGATTACACATATAAAAATAATAATTAAAAAATTTATAAAACAAAAATAAAAATAACAGTTAAAAAATTTATCGATTAAAAATAAATCGTAAATAAAGTAAATTTATAATTCATAAGACTTTTTTATGTCCCTTAGAATTGAAAATATTTGATTGAATAAAAAATTGTTTGCTATAATTCAAATTAAATCGCAGAAACAAGAAAATTAATGAAGAATAAAAAAATTGACGTTACAAAGTTTTATTTTTTTATATTTTACAATAATAATTATTTTTCAATAATAAAACGCTGCTTTATTTTTTATTCAACACTGGACCATCTTGTTTCCAATAACTGTCTAACCCAACCATTGATATTACTACTGCGAACCTTTATTCACGCCTAAAAATAGAGATAAACAAAGAGCGATTTATCTCATTACATTATGAAGCCATCCATGAGGACGACATTCTCGATAGATTCGATCATTACATAGAGCGACGTGCTTACGGAAGCGATTTATTCTCTACGCTTCGATTTATCTCGCCGATTGGATCTCGGCAGGAGAGCAGGGGCGGACAAGCATCAAGGATAAATGACAGATCGTTATAGAAGGGGTCGAAAGAAACGTCCTTCGTCGGAGGAGAGCGAGGACATGCGCACGAGCCTTAAGGGCACTTGGCACGTTTATGGCCCTTTTTACGACAAGTCTTGGTCTACGATCCTCTCCATCATCGACCACCTTTATCGTTATCCTTCATCCAACCAACCCATTCAGCCAATGTTTACGGGAAACTTGGATTAAAGAAACATACTCGATGATTTACCGATACACCGCGACAAGAAATGGAATCTTTAGCTCACGATAAAAGATAATTTATCACTAATTATCTATTTCCTGACAGGGATTATGTCCTACAACTCGAATAATTTCGAATATAAATTTTTAAAAATTATTCCTGTGTTTTTATATTACAGAATATTTCTCCATCTATTTATACGAATATTGTTGAACATATTGAAGTTCATTTTTATTTAATTAGTCGTATAAAATCCTTATCTCATTTTATTTTCCGCATCTTACATCGATCGCTTATGATAACTCGCTACAAGGATTGCTCCCCCGTAGCATTTGCACAAGAGGTTCTATATGAAAAGAAAGTTATGCATGCGACGATGCAAGTACTCACCTTGTCGTGACCTATCCTCTGATAGTAGTACTTGGCGTACTCGTCCAGCCACACTTCGCTCAGTCTTATGCTATTCCTCTTGAGCACGTTCACGCCGTTGCGCCACTTGTAAGGCGAACGTTTCCTGAAGATGTGACCCACGTGCGAGCATGGCACGATTTCCAGGGTGCCTGAGAACGCGTCGAGTTATTAGATTAACATTTTCATTCGGTTGAATTATACGTTTACACGTTGCTGGCTAGTTTTAAGAATCGTGTAAATGCAAATAAGTTAAAACATGAAAATAAAAAAAGAAACATTTGAATAAAAACATAAATGCGTGCAATTTTTTTCGAAATAAAGAACAACGAAAATATAATGCATAAAAGGAAAACAATTCGCATTTAGCGTCAAGAACAAAATAAAAAAAAAAAGATAATTCTTCTATATTATAAGATTACAGTAATTTAGAACTTCAGTTTCCTAAATTAGAAAAACAAAACCTTTTTTTGTTATCATGTTGTCTTACCTCCGCACATCCAGGTTTTAAATGATAATTCAAGATTCTCGCCACCCCATATGTCGAAGCCGCTATCATATGTGCCGATCCGTTCGAAGAAAACTCGGTCTATTGAAAAGAGGCCGCCAGCCATTGTTGGTGACCAAACGGGTTCGGCCGGGTTTTTGTGCCTCTTTCTCTCTCTCTCTGGTACCGCGTGCCAATTGAACTTGATAACAAATGTTGATATATGTCAAGAATCCGCCCAAATAAATGGTTATGACTTTTTGATCATATAATATAATATTACAAATTGATAACTTTATAAAATGAGACTTAAAAGTCATTTAAAAAATTAATGTCTTACCATTACATTTTCCAGTTTTTTATTTATTTATTTTTTTTTAATCGCATCTTGTCAGTTTAGAAACAAATAATTTAAAAAAATATAGATGTAAAACACTTTTTATATAATAAAATGCAGTCCCATAAAGTGGCTTTTACACGATATATCAGTTTCTTCCCCAGTAAATAATTAGTTTGGTGTCACGCTGTCGCGTGTGAAAATCAATTGCATTCCGGCAAGACAGACGTAGGTATTTTCTACCGTTTCCCAATGTTCGGAAAAGAACGGCGTGAAGATTTCGTTTACCTGGAGATTCCAATCGAATCCACCGACATTTACACCGCTCGAGTCGCGCCAGTGGTATTCCAGGGTAGTGTCGTCTATAACATCGATCACCGGACAAACTACCGTCGTCGGATCGCGCGCGATCCGATCCAGAAGAGGTTCTAGCCAGCCCTCCGTACATTCACAATGGCTATCCAGATATGTGAGGACCGGAGCTTTGGCCGCCGCAGCGCCTAACAAGCGCGCCCTGATAAGGCCCTCACGTTTATTCGCTCTAATAATTCTCACTTTTGGATAATTCATCATATAGTCCTCCAATTGGCGCTTGAGATGAGCTGCAAAAGGATTGATTTTTCGTTATTTCACCGGACAAACAAAACATCAAAATAATAAAATATCGCGTTGCGTAATTAACTTATTTCTATATTTAGTTATATCCTATATTATATCTTTCATTGTGTTACTGAATACTGAATAATGGAGTATTTGTTCCATCTTAACTTTAAAATATCTTACATCCTTTTTATAGGAAATGTCAGCATTTAATATTAAACAGTCATATAATTCATGGTATAATCTCGTAATACGCAGCGTTATTGACGGAACTTGTCGTCTTTAATATCAGAATTTGCTTGAATATTAATCTCGTGGATCTGTAGATTTTGTCTCAACCACCATTGTTTGCTAGACCTCCGCCGATTTGGAATAGGTATAAGTTGGTAGGATCTATGCTTCGGTAAACGATAAATGCAACAATAAAGTGAATATACTCGTGAATATACCCGTTTCTCTAGATTTCTCTAAAATCGATTACATCCTTAATGTCAGATTACGGTTTATTTATGATGTCATTCGCAAACTGTTGCGGTAACAACAATTACCCTTCTCGTTGTAACTTTATTTCCTATTCACAATAAATTTAATCGTATGCTAGATAGAAAGAACGATAATCCTGGTATAATAATCCATTTTAATTACATTTTTCTTATACATAGAGACGTGTTATTAACATTTCAACATCTGATTAAAAAAAAAGTAGCTGCTTATCTATTCTAATAAAGATTATGTCCGCTAAACTAGTCTCTAATTCGCCATTAAGGTATCTAACGATTGAATATAGAAAAAGGACGTAGCTCACAAACTTATGAAGATTTGTTTAAAATGGAAAATAACAGCTATGTAACTTTACAAAGTTGTAATAAATATTAATATTGTTACTGTTATCCGATTAAAAAGCGGAGTTCATGTATTTTAGGCAATTTGAAAAGTACACAGGGATGGATTCATCTTTTTTCTTATTCAATTTTATTTACTGAATTACAAAATCGTGGTTAAAATTGTCCAAATAGTTCGGAAAATTTTTTTTTTAAGCAAGAGAAAACAACGATAATTACTTTGTTGAATCATATCTAAAATTTCTCTTTATTTTTTATATAAAAATCGTTTCTTTTTTTAAAATAAATTATTATTAAAGTCATAACTTTTATTTGCACTATACAGGGTAGTCCATTTTAATCAATACAATCAATTTTCTTCGAAACGATTAATAATGTTTCAGATAAAACTGAAATTGTTTCAAAGAGGACATATTTTGATCATAATTTTTTTCGAGATAGAGGCATCGAAAAGATATGAAAGTTATCCACTTTTTAAAATAGAATTAAATGATTTTTTTACATAGTGTAATTATTTTGCATATAAAAGGATTAAGTAGAGATATAAAAAAACCATTAGTTTACGAGATATTTTATAATTTATTCTAGCACATGTTGGCATAAAGTGTTAAATATTTCGTAAACTTAATTTCTTGATAATCGTATCTTCAGTATAGTAAATAAATTTGAGTAACAAAAAAGGTGAATCCTTGCATGTTTCTCAAATCGCCTAAAATGCATGAAACTCCTTTATCGTCACAGCATTTTATTATTTTCTAAGAATCATAGGACCACATATATATGTGAGTACCAACAATAGGAGACAAATACCTTTTAAGTCTAGCTGAATTTTTAAGTGCTCTCTTATATAATTCTATGTGAATTTATATATATATTATGTATGTAATCCTTTAAATTGCGCGCCAAAATAATGTTTTGGTTATGAAATGCAAACTTCATAAAAGTACCGCAGTAATATTACAAATTAAACTGACTAGCAATTCGATAATTCATAAGCATCTTAGAACGATCAATAATGACATTAAAATCTCCAAGATTCGATTGCACCAACGTTATTCTAATTTTAAACGAGACTTGAAACTCTCTTTGTTCCTGTCTCTTTTCGGTTTTAAAACGAGAGAATTTTAAATTTCGCTTAAAATCAAAGTAACATTGGTGCAATCGGGCCTAAATAATTTTATTACGCCGGCGAGGAATCGATTTATTATTGTTTTAAATTCCTTTATCTGTTTTTCATTTGAATATACACAATTCTGATTTTAAAAAAAAAATAATATCGATATTGCCACTGAAAATCTTCGATGTCACTTGTGTGGATGCTTCGAGATCTCAGTCTGTTATCTTGTATTATTTTTGACAAATATAAGCGAGATGTAAATTTAAAACATATAACTGCCTATAGTTACGGATCGCTAGGCAGCAATTAGGATATATTTGTGATTTATTCTTCGTTAAGATGGCTTTATGAGGGACCGTACCACTAATCCTAAGCCTCTGCCCTGTAAGCTCGATTAACTATGGATAGTATAATGGGATTCTACGGATCAACGTGTTTCGTGCAAGAGCAATGATTACCGCACAAGACATTTGATTTTATTTCCTTTTTATTGAATTGCGCGTCTGATAAGCTTTAATACAAAATCATGCTCGATTGCCATTCAGCGATTCCGTATTGCGTATCAGTTCACAAAAAGAATTTTTTCGTGCCGAGATATATTATAGGAAACTATATAGGGATCGTTGTATAGATCTCGCTGGTAGTTATGAATCGAGAAAATGTTCCTTTCGAAGTACACTGAAGTGTGTGTTGAACGAAGAGCGTTACGTCCTTGTTAGCTGCACTCGAACGAGAAGAGATGAACCGTAAGAGATCAGAGATCAGACATTTAATACACGCGCAACTGGCTCGCGCGCATGGAATCCGCGCGCATTCCAAACCGAATTAATTTCTAATGAATTCCCCGAACACAAAGAGGCACGCATAAACCGACCCTGGCCATTATTGCAGATTTTATTATGACTTTGCTGAGTGCACTATATGAGGCGTAGATAATGGAACCACTCAAAGAGCACAGTCTGTCGCCGTCGAGAGCGCTCATAATTAACTCTGTAATCCCCGTCGCCAATCCCCTTTATAAAAGCTAATTATCGTGCGTGAGTTTTGCCGAGAAAGGCTAAAGTCTACGCTGTAACTTTCTTGTGGACTTGTGTTAATCATTGAATTCATTTTAACCCACCGCGCGTTTCGGCGAATAAAGAGATAATTTTTTAATATAATAAAAAATTATCATATTGTAATATAATATCCATATAATTGAAATAAAATATTCGATGATTAATTATAATTATATATAAAGAAATTCATACGTATAAAGGAACTCTCGAATTAGATGTTGCAATTTTATTTTAAATAAAAGCATGCATAAATTCATTTATCGTGTTCGCATTTTTTAATTATCTTTGCGAAAAAGGAAAAGCATATAAGAGGCAGTGTTATATTTTCCTTCTGTGATAAAGCAATCAGTTGTCTGTTAATAGTTAATATAAAATATTGGCCAGGAAATTGCTGAAGCAAGTAATTATGTTTATAGGTTTAACTTCCGGTCGGGACGAGAGCTTATCTTGAGCTTTTAATAAAGATTGCAGCAACTATTCTATATACACTGCTTTCCCGAATCCAGTTTAATCTCAGACACCCTTTCTCAGGATTTTTATGTTCATCCGCCTGTATTATTTGGTAGGATTCCATGCGATTATCGATTGTCTTTTCTTCGATATACGATTAAAACAAAAAATAATATAATATTTTTAATTCAGGAATGTTGACGCAAACCTTCATCTATTCTGAAATTGATATTTTATATGTATCAACTCGTGTGAATGCATATTTTTTAAATATAACTGACGCTCGTAAATAGTTTAAACTATAGATCTTTTTTTGCTAACAGTGATTCCAGTTTTACTAGTTTTGTAATTTAGATTTCGATTTAGTGGCTGTTGTATAAACGTTAGTTTATTCGAAAACGTGCAACTACGTTGAAGCTATAATTGCCTTTTTGCATCCAAACAATGCGTACGTATTTGTTTCGCCCGCATTTACGAAATTACATGTTTCATATATTTCTATCAACTTCACGTATATGCCTTTAGGCGAAAAACATATATTCTGACAGATGAATATGAATAATTACAAACATAGTTTTTCAAGTTAATAAAGACATCAAAACTTGAACAATGACAAATATTTCTTCGCCGAAGTGTACATATATATGTACATTTTTTATTTCTTCATTTCGCGAAAAAGCATTTATTATAAAAAAAATATAGAAACAGCTTCAAATAGTTTTTCTTCTTCAAAATTTCTTTCTCTAAATTTTCTTTTTCTAATAAGAAAAGTTTGGCAAAACAATTTATTAAAATCTGAAATTCACAAATAAAATACAAAAAATATAAAAACAAAATACATTTGAACCTGATTGTCACACATAGCGATTTGTTATTTCGTCTGATAATTTATAGTTTAATTTAGTTTCTGGGATATTAACAAAAATATGGAAATGTTAGATTTCTTTAAGTGTTTTCGATGTTAGAATCGAAATAGAAAATTTATATAATTATATATAATTATATAATTACAGGTATAGGTACATATATTTTAATTTTGCAAAGTTTCAGATTTTTACGAGTTTTCAGATTGAACCTTTCTTATATAAGTATTCCCATAGCTGTAATTTTTGATACACTATAGCGCGTTCACGCCCAATTTCGGAAAACGAGAACAAGTGAGGACGTTAAACTTATAGAGAGCCGAGCAGCAGAGTTTGTATGAACCTCTCGTAATTTTCAGAGTATCTGTAAAGCAGGCTGAGAGTTTCTCTTCTATTCACGTCGCGGCGACACAGTAGAGAGATGGATTGCAATTAATCGATCTATCGCAAAACTACGAAACACTGTCGCGATAACGAATCACCGTTCTGAATAGAGACGCGGTTGTACGAGCATGTACGCGAATATAATGGTTCGCGGTTTCCGTTCGCGTTCTGTGCTTACGAGTTCCCCTTTTGGCGTTCTATCGAGGATTTTTCATCGCTCGGCGATGAGAGCTGCACGAGGATTTATGACACTACGGAAACGATATGCTATTCCGCTTCGATCGAGCATAGAAGATATTTCGTTTTGAATCTAAAGTACGTGTGCGGTTCGAGCGATAACGCGAGAGTAACTCGTCTACTTTTCGCTTTATACGAAAAGAAATACCTTGAATATATCATATGTCATGCAATAGAGATACAAATTACATATTAATTTTCCCCGATAAATGATCATATAAATTATTTCTCATAATTTTCTGGTATCGAAAACAAAGTTAAAATCTGTTTTGAAGCATGCATAAATAAAATTAAGTCTACTGTGCGTTATTATGAAATTCGACAATTTTAACTTTCTGGAGTTGACGGTAGATCCATTGGATGCATTTAATTATAAATTTCTTTGTTAAAAATATCGAACAATTCAATTCTTTTTATGTTGCATTATGCAAAAATTAGATTATTCTTATTCTTAAAATTATATTTACAAGAGAATCGTTAGAATCTCTTTTATTGATTTTGATGAGCTTTGTTGGATTTTGATAAATTATAGAGCATCAAAAGATATTAGATCCAGCATATTTTTATACGTTTATTTCTAAGATTTAGGAGTCCCCCTGAAGAGTAAGGAGAATTTTAAAAATTTGACAAATATAACACTGTTATTAAGAGTATAAAATACTATAAAACTTTTGTATAAAACAATTGTTCATATACCTGATAGTTGCAAAAATATTCGAAAATGAAGTTTTATTATCGAGAAGTTATTTTCAAGATGTTGTTTCGTCTCATAAATCTGGAAATAAACACATAAAAAATAATCTAATTTTTTTTTTTTGAAATATATCCAAACTCTAAAATATATTCAAATCTATCAAAATCAAAAGACAATTACAGGCGTTTCTCTTGTTAATATTTATTCTTTTTATACGAATTACGTTTATTATTTTGATTCCTTAAAATTAGTGTTTTTTTAATTAACATAAATTAAATAGGTCTCATAGATGCAGCATCAGTAACAGTATTATAGATTTTAACATCAGAAAGATAATAACGAAACTTGAAAGATAATAACGAATTTGTTAACTTTTCTATATTAGTAGAAAACAACTTACGCATGTCGGAGAAATCATCGACTAGAATGATTTCCTGTATGAGATGTTCTGGCGATCTATCCAGCACGGAGTGCACTGTACGCAACAACACAGACCAAGCTTCGTTGTGGAAGCAGATAATTACTGCTGTAGGCGGAAGATCCTTCAAGTACCTACCAGATTCCTTACACCTAAAACAAAAAGAATCAAAGCAATCATCAAATACCGTTAACGATTGTGCTATAAAGGAAAATCGTGTTGTTAAAATTATATTTCATATACAAATATTACTAACGAAGCAAAATATCGAAATATCGTTGCATTTCATGTTGAATATAGGTCTTGTCTACGTCCCTCTAATAATATTAACTTCGATAGCGGATTGTATGATTGTTTGCAGAACAATCACGAGCACAGTGCATCAATAGTATGGCTGAATCGAGTTCTTGATCTGTAGACCGCAACAGGGATGATTAAGCGAAACCGATAATATGTACGAGAAGATATGTCAGGAAAATACGGTAATACGATTAAGGTAGAGAATGTTCGTAAACTAAACGCCCACGAGGTGTACGCTCGCCCGAAGCTCACCGCAAAATGAATTCCAGGGATGCAGGGATTGAGACTTCCGGACCTAGTTAATGCACGAACACATAGCTAGCCGCAGACACACGTCGCGGTTTATGGATATGGCAAATAAAATGTATGTGTTTTTCACTTTTTTCGTAATACTTGCGAGAGCGAGAGATTGCCGTTTCTGTGTATTAACATAACATATTCTCGTCAAATTCTATACACATTGTATTTATCCAATATTTACTCTGTTGCATTCGCTATTCGCGATTTTGTAGTCTCATAATGCATTTAATACATGAATACATTTCGATTCACAATCGATGTCTTCGTAATTAGCTCTGCTATAAATACGTATGCTTCCACCCATGAGATAATTATCATATATTAATTCAAGGTATTCGTTTGTAATTAGCGCATTATACTGCAGCCGAGAGTAAGTACATTGTACACGTTACGATTGCGCGCATTGCGTGCTAATGAAGCGATTATGAGATGTGCCATTCAATAACGGCCATTACTATGATTACCATCTGTGAATAATTTCAATTAACAGCTGCCAGCACACGCATCGTTCACGAAATGTACTGTTTGCTAAATTTCCGATTTATCCTTCCTGGTGTACCGAAGCGAATATCTACTCGTGAATGAGATCCTTTCATAATCAGTTTCCATGTCGGATTGAAGGTGTTTATGTCAGATGAAATGTAAAACTTAATGTATCTATATATGTATATTTATACGTCTACATTTTTTCATAGGAATATTTTTTCGTTGCAAAAACAGCTTGAAGTACAAGTAAACATAATAAATAATCTTATAATAATAATCTTATAATAATTCTTCAGTTAATTTGAGAATTAGCCAAGGAAAATAAGATAATGGTAAACAGTTAAATAACAGAATAATGATAAGCTAAATAGAAAAGAAGAGAAACTTCTTGAAAATATTTTGCAGATTGAAATAAAAATGTGAACATATCAGAAAAAGATTACTGAGATATAATGTATTTTAAAACATGTATTTTAAAACAATAAAAATTACAAGATAAAATATTAATAATTTAATATCGATAATGAATAGCGGCAATGTAGAGAATAAGTACATTTACATGTCATGTTGTTTCATATTTATCCAAAAAAAAAAAAACAGACGCTTAACAAATTTCATATAAAAAGAACAAGCATGTCACATTGAATTTTACATAAATTGTCACAGGTATTTATACATATCGTTTTTATCAATCATAATACATTTTATATATAAATTCAACTGCGTACGTTACAACTAAGCTGTGAATTGTAAGACATGTCATATGATATTTAAAATGTCACATGATAATTAAAATTTTTTATAAGCATGTTGGAAAGGAGGATATTATAAGACCATAATAAAATAATAAAGAAGGTTTTCTCTTATAAAAACAGAGAGGTTTAATTTCTCTGTCCCGAATAAATGCTGTATCTGGTTTCGAATGAATGCTGTATCATAAATTCATAAAGATAACGGCGCCGCGACGAATATCATATTAAGATAAAATTAATATAAAATTAGAGTGAGAAATTAATTGAAAATTTTATACGGCATAGAAGAGATAAACTCGTCTAAAAAAATATGTATAATTTTAACGTAGATAATTAATTAAATATTAACATCATCTCTAATTTATTTCGATTAAGCATACTCTTATTAATTTTCAGATACGTTATAATGCAACCTATTTGATATATTTGATATATGTACACTATGTAACTATACGTAGAAGATAAAAGTATAAATAAGAAAATCCGAATATATACAGTCACAATCTACTTAGAGATCAATATTATATTGAAGTTTCATAGAATAGTATTAATTAATTTTCATTATATAAATTTTATTTATATAATCAGTTAGAGATATTAGTTTATTTTATAAATTATTACATTATAAAATGCGTAGAGGAAAGGAGGTAACGAAGAAGGTAAGATAACGAATTGTTAATTTTTTAGCTAATAATAGAAAAACAGACTTAACTTATTAAAGGCAGGTAATACACAATCTCTTATAATTTGAATTCAATCTGATTACAAAAATAGATAATATATTAAAAAATGTGATGCATTCACTTGTAATTTTGCAATATTTGTATATAAAGAATGACATAATTATAGTAGGGAAGACCAGGATCAGTTGACTAAGTAAAATAATCGAAGCTACATTAAAAACAAAACACATGAGACACGCGTAAACGTATCTGAGCACGCAACAGCGACTGTCGCTCAGTTTATTGTCTATAACGTCTTGTTGCGAACATCTATATTAGAAGTTATGCCACAATTTTAAAAAATTGTGCACACTTAAGTAAATATTTTTATTCTCAAAGTTTTTGTTTTACAATCGTATATGATTGTTGAGATATTTGATTTTTGCTTAGATAGTAAGTGTAGTGTTCTTACTTAATAAAGTTCAACAGATTTTTTTTTGTTTGTGTGTCTTTTTTATCATATATTGTTAATTTTTTTTTAAATACACGGATGGGGATAGTAGACTAACTACAGCATGGAACTGTATGATTCATTTAGTGACGACTCTTATAGTATTTACTCAAAATTTTATTCTTTTAAAGAGATTTTCCAGTAGTAAATGTTCTCGAAAACTAGACTCATTCGATATGTTTTTGCACGAAATGAACAAATTTTGCAAAAAGCAGCATTGTTTTGCCCTGCGAAGCGAATGTTTGTGTTTAAAATATATTTTTATAAAAGTTTTATTAATATAGCCAAAGCTTATATAGCCAAAATATAGCTTAAAATACATTAATCTTTTAATAATTATTAATTAGAATCGAATTACCCCAGTCCCGATACTCCTAGTTGAATGAAATGCATTAGAAAAATGCATTTTTTCATATTAGTTATCAGTTTCCCCTTACTTTTAAATTACTTTTAAATTAAAATATTGTTAAAATATTGTTAGTCAAATGTAGTAACTGGCGTAGAATTCATTTTTTCGATAATTTCGTCTGTAAAAATTCAAAACTGAAAAATGAGTCTATTAGCCCCAATCTCCCCTAAAGGCTTTCATTTTGTTGTAATAAAATTGCAATATTGTGTAACTAAAAGCGAATACAATAACATATTAATATTTTTTTATTTTTCGCATTAAAATGGTTTTATTAATTAAATAAGAATATACATAGGTAACTGTGGGTAAAAATGACAAATGTCGTGTATGGGTAAAATGACGCTCGCATGGAAGTAGATTATAAGTTATATGACCGCGCGTGACGTTTTTATAACTCAAATAATAAATAATTTGATGCTCATGATTCAAATCTTTCTTCCTACAATACAATATGATTAATATGGACATGAAGAAGAGAAGAATTATATAAACTGTACACATTGTTTCTATATGTTACATTTTTCATAATATTTTCATAATCACAATTAAAAATTAATATTTATTTTTATACTATAACTTTCACGTTTGTTTCATCTAAATACCTACTTGGTTAAAAATAAGGTTAATTATAAATATTTTTCTATGTGATATTAAGACATTAGCTTTCATGTGATGTAATTGTGATATCCAAGTTTAGTTATAATGTTCTTTAATCATTTTATTTAAATCTTATTTTATTTTTGAGTACACACAGTAGTAAGTAGGTATATTTTACTAATAAGTTCATTACATATAATAATTACTACATACAGTACATATAATACATAAATATAACTATTAATGTTAATGTTTCAATAATTTTATTTTCATAAATTATATAAAAGTTTTATTTTGTTTATACTTTTCTTTAAAACTTCTTATAATATATTAAAACAATATAAACATATCGTAATAAATCTTTTTTTACTCATAAAAAGTATATTTTTAACTTAAATTGACTTTTCGTCATATCCTACTAAAAGTCATCTTACTCACATATAAAGGCAAGATGACAAAATTGATATGTCTTCAAAAAAATTAAACTTTAAAGAATTGTAATTTATTTAACAACTTTATAATTTTTACAAATGAATTAAGACTGTAATAAACTTGAAAAAAAATAAATCAATCTCTTTACCTCATCTCAGAAATTATGAAAAAATCGACAAACCTTAAGGTTGTCATTTTACCTCCCTTTCCTCTATAAAATTTTATAAGAAGTTTCACATTTAACTACAAGAATTTATTTTTAATTTAACCATTATTAAAAAATAATGCAGCTTGGAAAGTTGCTTATATGTACAATATATTTCTAAAAGATTTTTAAAAGAAAATATCTTGTAGTATTATTAATTTGTAGAATATTTAGATTTTTATGTATATATAAAATGTAATATAATGTTAATTAAAAAGACTGAAATTTATTTTATTATTTACGTAGATTCTTTAAAATAATATTTTATGCAATGGTACGCCTCCTACATTATTGTTAATTGCATATCTGATGATCCTTAACCATACATCAGATAAGCTTTTGACTAGAAAAGTAAAAGAGGCTCGCAAAAAGCAAACGCTCAAGCTGAATCAACGCTATTTGCATTTGCATTCCTCTCATTCCGCATTAGTTTGTGTACTCAATTTTAACAGTAAAGCAAAGCTGGCGAAATTCTCATTTTCAAATGCGGAGCACTTG